TAGACATATTGCAATAAACATCTAAAAATCACTATGAATGCATAAATTCAATGTATGACTTGTATAAGTAATACTTTTTATTCTCTAATAATTACAACTAATGAAAAGTATTCAAAATAAAGTATTTTCATTAAAAACTAGCTCACCGATTTTGATGAGAATAAGTTATAACCCACAATTACAAAAGGAAAACAGATTTACCCTTCTCAAATGATCTCCCACTATAAAAATGGCATAAATTACAGGAGTATAAAATGCATATATACTCCAAAAAGGAACTTTTCTTTTGGCTAAGGTCTTTGATCAGTAATGGCAATAATTTTCAATTATTTATTGACAGAAAATGTATATACATTTAAAAATTAGTCTTAAAATTAAATAAAGGATGTAGTTGTTGGAACACGTTCCAAGTGTTCAACAGCTACATATAGCTGTGGCTACTGTACTGGACACTACAGTATAGAATATTTCTTTTACTACAGAGAGTTCTATTAGAAGGTGCTGATTGAGAGAATCTAAGCCGAAAAATAAGTCAAATGTCTATACAGAGGTATTACCAGGTTTCAGTAATGATTATAACATTAGAGGATTCGTCTTGTGATACAGAAGAAAAAAGGGTGTGCTACAGGCTATTGCTTGAAGAAAAAGAAAATATGCAGTAAGATTCTGAGCTCAACTGTAAGTTTCAGGGGACAAGGACGGTGGGTGGGGGTGTACCTATTTTATAGCTTTCCAGATGGCATTGGAGGCAGACAGAAACTGGTCCAGGTCCGCTTTCTCTTCTCATGCTATACAATTCTGAAACAATCTCACCCACACATCTACGAGATGGCAGTATGAAAATGTCCACTTCAACACAGACGGAATGCCGGCCTTCAGATCCATAAGTACAGCTTCCTTTACTCCGTATCTCTACTGGGACTGCTTTAAAAGTATCTCACAACACAGCCAAACCTAAACTCACTCCCTGCCTTGCCTCCTATATACTACAGAATTTGTCTGGCCTTTGTCTGGTTCCTGAAGGTTACCTAGAAGCTCAAGGAATATAGAATTGACCGCACTTTATCCCCACTTCCCGGGAGGGAGTCTCAAAATCCTTGGAATTTCTGCGTGACCAGGTTGTCTTTGCTTTTCATGGTGGGTTCCTCAGGCCACATCTGATAGCTTATGCTCACAGGTGACAGGGTGAGCTCACAGTTTGTGCTAAGGAGATGACTCAGGGCTGGGGATGGCCATGCCGGAAGGTCCACCCATGTGACCACAGGGTTGGGGCTCTGAGCCATGTGGTATCAGCACAACCTTTGGGGAATAGAAGGGCGCTGGAGAATTAGTTCAGCCATGTGGCCAATGATTCAATCATTATGCCTACATAATGAAGCCCCAGTAAAAACTGGACACTGGAGCGCAGGTGAGCCTCGGGCTGGCAACAGTCCACATATTGTCACACACTGACCTGACAGGAGGGTAATGGGGTTTGACTCTATGGAGAAAATATAATGAAGGCTTCCCACTTGAAACCCTCCAAGATTTTGCCTGATGTGTTTCTCCTTTTGGTTGGTTTTGCCAGAAGGCTTTGCGATAATAAAACCGTAATCATAATATAGCACTTTCCTGAGTTATGTAAGCATGAAACCTGAGCAGGTAGTGGTGACCTCAGAATTTATAGCCATCTGGTCAGAAATGACAGCTGCCGGGGGATCCCCCTAACTTGCAGATGGTGTGTGAAGTGAGAACAATTTTGCAAAGGACTGTGTTCTCAGCTTTGAGGCTTGGCTGAACTCTGTGTTGCTGGAGTCAGGAGTCCCTGAAACCGTCAGGTCTGCTCTTCCTAACATGTTCGCTGTCATAGCAAACGGCAGGTCCATTCATCTATCCAGCTGCTGTCACTGATGACTTTCCCCCTCAAGCACCTTTCGTGTCTTTCCACGTCCACTTCCCAGAAGCTATTCACATCTCTGCGACTCCCCTGCAGACTACTAAGTCCGACATGACCTGGTCTTCTCCTCTTTCGTCCCATTCTCCTCACTGCTCATAAAATCATGGCCACAAGTGCCTTCTCTCTGATACCTGACTCACCTCAAAGCCTTTTCACTTGCTGTTCCCTCTGCTTAGAATGTTTTCAGAGATCTTAGCTTGACTGGTTCCTCCTTATCATTCGGGTCATGATTTACATGTCTCGTTCTCAAGGTGATCTGTTTGCTTCCCAATTCCAAGTAGCCTTCTAGTGACTATGTCATCATTTTCACCATAGTACTTATTTTAATTTTGTTTCTGATTTTTCCCTCTCATAGAATTAAACCCCACGTCATATTCAGTGCTGTATTACCAGGGCTTAGAACAGTGTCTGGCACAAAGAAGATATTCACTTACTGAATATCTGAACAGGATATTCAGATATTTCTGAATCCACTGAATTAGGTTATCTCAGCTGTTTCCTCTGACTTTCGTTTTGCCCTCCTCAAATCCATTCTCCACATTGTAGCTTGAGTCATCTTTCTAAAACATCAGTATGATGACATCGCTGCCTCATTAAAAACAGGGCTCACTACTATATTCAGGGAGAGTTCTATCTCTGAGACACATAAGACAGGCCCTTTATTATCTGTGCTCCGTTTACCATTCCCAGTACATCCCCTCTCCCCTTCGAGTCTCCAGCCATGCTGAACTATTGCCAACACTTTCACACTCAGGCCCTCTTGCCTCTCAAACTTCCTGGACGTATCCCTCCCGCCACGACACTCATCTTTCCTCTCATTTGCCTGGTTAACTCTTACTCATCCTTTGGGTCTCCTTCACCATCACTTCCTCCGGAAAACTTTCCCTGATCTTCCAAAATTGAATCAGCTACCCCTCCTGTGTCTCCTACAGTAGTTTCTATCTCACTCCATCCTAGCACTAATTATGGATGTCCAGTAATTATCTGGATACTTGCCTGTGTCCTTCTCAGGAGTATTAGCTCCTTGGGAACAGGGCCTTGTCTTATTCAGTGATACTGCTACCACTGAACACAATGGCTGCTGGCATACTGAAGATGTCTAATATATATTTACTGAATTCATGTATTATACTAGAAAATCTGCTGGCAAATTCAGAAGTCTTTATATTCCATGCTCCCAGTGTTTAATTCAATGTTACCCACAGAGCAGGTGCTCAATAAATACAAAGTAAACTTTAAAGAGTAATGCTTTCTAAAGTATAACTTCATGTGAAAGAAAGAAAAATCAAGGATGCTCAGGTTTCTTGATATTAGGGATATTTATTTAAGGATACTATATGCTTTAAACTAAAAAGATAAACATATAGTTTATGACTAAGCTATATGATCTCTTTTAACATATCTCCTTGCTATAGTGCTATACTATTACTAGCATTTAACTTGGGATATATGCCCACAAAGGGATATTTTAGCCTTTTTTTCAAAATACCTATGTTAATAAATAAGCACTATACGGATCAATTCTAGGGAATCTGTTTATAAGTACTACAATTTAAAGAAATATAAATAAATAAAATTTTTCTTGACAAAAAAACTGCCTACTGTCATTGAAAGATAAGAATTATTATTCTTTGGTACCATGATAACTTATATAAGGATATATACATACACATGTTACCCATAAAGTAACATGACAGGTTTTAAAAATAGAGTTCTAGAAGTTATTCATATAAATTATATTTGTCATTCAAAGTAATCTCTTCTGGAGACTCATTCCAATAATAGAACCAAAGCTCAAAATGTTTTCAAAAACTTTCTTTGGAAACTGACTTTACATCCTGCAACAATTATTCTGAATATTCTCAGATGATAAATCTTCAGCTTTGAAGGTCAGTGTTTATATCTGTATGCAACTAGTCATCAGACACCATGGTTAGTAAATAATCAAAGATCATGACACACTGGATTAAAAATAAGGTATATTTGATCAAAACCACCGGCAATGTACAAGTTTTCTTGTGTAAGCTATATACTTGTTCTGAAAACAATGACAAGAGGGGTTCTAGAAATGTTGAGAGAGAACGAGGGAGAGGGAAAAAGAAGAAAGAAAACAAGGAAACTAGTACTTAACGAGTCAAAGATCCTCTTGAAAATCTGATAAAAATTATGACTCCTTCTCCTGGAAAAACAATAGCTTCCCTATCCCCACTCCAAAAAACCACTTGTGTAGAATATTAGGAAGATATGAACATGCCAGGCATGGTGGCTTATGCCTGTAATCCCAGCACTTTGAGAGGAAGAGGCGAGAGGACTGCCTGAGCCCAGAGGTTCAAGATCAGCCTGGATAAGTTGGCGAGATCTCGTCCTTACAATAAATCAAAAAATTAGCTGGGCATGGTAGTATGTAACTGTGATTCCAGCTACTTGGAAGGCTAAGTGGAAGGATTGCCTGAGCCCAGCAGGTCGAGGCTGTGTTGGCCATGAGCATGCCACTGCACCCTCCTGGGTGACAGAGTGAGATGTCAACTCAAAAAAAAAAAAAAAAAGGTTTGAACACACTGAGGTCCCTCTATGGAAGCCACATTAAGACTCCAAGGTTTAGAGCAGTGGTTTTTTCTTTTCTTTTCTTTCTTTGCTATTGCAACAACAGAAAAAAAATATATACTTTATACTATGACCTAATTTGTACATGCATATTTATAATTTAAAGTTTCACAAAACCATTCTCAACCCTACTGTATGTGATAGTATTCTCTTCTATTTGGTTAAGAAAAATGTTATCATGACCTACTGCACTAATTTTACAATCCATAATCTGAAAATACTAATTTAGAGTAACTGCTGCATAATTGGATTAAGCTAGTGAAAAAGAGAAAATTCATTTGATTATAAAAACTCTGATGTTATTTTAAAATAACAAACATAAAAATCTTTTTAACTTTATAGTCAAAGTCTTCAAGATGTTGAACTCTGGCAAAACTGTATTGTCTTGGTCACTCATCTACATGACTAACTACTGGAGACACTGACAAGTAAGTTACACAATGGCCATCAAACCCCATACCTTAATGTTGGAAAACCATAAATCATTTTCATGCAGAGTGGCAAGGTAGACAGATGTGAGAAGTCCAATGCAAAGGGCAATGATTCCACCAATTGTAAATGACAGAATCTTCCATAATCTTCTACTGGTACAACCTTTTAGAAAAATGGGACAGATGGATAATAAGTCAGCACAAAATTTAGAATTTAACAGTTCTTCTTCAGATTATCAAGTTAGCGAGGTTCCAGCTGCCTGTCACTGGTGAACCTTCCCTGTCCTCAGCAGATGCTCCTTTCTACGGTTCCACAGACCTGTTTTCCTTCTTTCATTACAGTCATTGACCCATCGTGCAGAACTGTTCACTTGTCCATTCTGTCAACTAGAATTGGGCTTCTTGAAGACAAGTGCATCATCTCACTCACCTTTTATACCCAGGGCCTATGTCTGGCATGTTTAACAATCACAGTTTAACTATGAAGTTTGTTAAATGGAGGAATGATTGGGTTAGGGTCTAGGATGTACTCAATCTTTTAAATGATCTTCTTAAGCTTTTGGTTTATCCATTAAAAACTCTAAAAAAACTCAATTACTTAAAAATTTCGAAACCCATAGAAAAAAATAATCCATCATAACTCAAGTTAAAGGATAAGTAAACTAGGAAAAATATTTATAGCACATGTAAGAAAGCTTAAATATCCATAATATAAGACGAATACTTTCAGGACAATAAAAAAGATGAAAATTTCAGTAAGAAACAGATTGAGGACATAAACGGGCCATGCATAAAATAAAAAATGCCAGTAAGAATAACAAGGCATTCAGATTCATTAGGGTTAAAGAAATGCAAATCGAAACAATGGGTTATACTTTTAAAAACTTTTTAAAAGTTATACTTTTAAAAATGCAAAGACTCTGTTTTGTTAAGGGTATAAAAAAATAGGTATCTTCAAACGCCGAGGGTAGAAGAATAAGTAGGTACCTCTCTGGAAGGCAGTATGGCGACACGGAGTCAAAGCGACTAGAATGAGCATACCGTTTGATGAAGAACTCTACATCTAGGCATATACCCTGTCATGGTTGGATACTTGACCCCTCCAAACCTCATGTTGAAACTGGACCCCCAGTGCTGGAGATGGGGTCTAACGGGAGGTATCTGGGTCACCGTGGTGACTTCCCTTGGTGCCATTCCCACTGTGAGTGCCTCCTCCATTAGTTCCGACTAGAGCCGGTTGTTAAAAAGAGCCTGACAACTTCCCCTGGGCCCCTACTTGCCTTCTCTCTTATGTGATCTTCCCTCCTCCCATTAATGGAAGCAGCTTGAACCCCCTCACCAGACATAGATGCTGACACCATGCTCCTTATACAGTCCAAAGAATCATAAGCCAAATAAACCTCTTTTCTTTATAAATTACCCAGCCTCAGGCATTCTTTTACAGTAACACAAAAGGACTAAGACATACCTAAAGTTTTGGGCAAACATTTGGCCACAAGGATATTTGTCAGATTTGTTTGCATAAATAAAAGATTAGAAAACTACCTTACTATTCAACAATAATTTAATTAAATAAATTATATCACAGCTACACAGTGGAATACTGTATCTTGAAAATATTTTAAAAATATATTGACTAACTTATGACTTACTAGAGAAAAACAGCATGTAAACCCTAATTTTGTAAAATTACATATGATTGTGAGTATACATATGCAGAGTATGACATTTAGATAGAAAGGCAGTGTCATTAAGAGCAGTCTCAGGATGGGTGGGTTTATGGGAGCTTTTTCCTTGTTTTTAACTTTTCTTTAGTTTTCATGGCTTTTCTGAGATGAATAAATACTTTTGGTAAGATGAACAATTCTCAAAATTATGTTTTAATTAAAAATGAATGGGCCGGGCTCGGTGGCTCAGCCTGTAATCCTGCGCTTTGGGAGGCTGAGATGAGTGGACTGCCTGAGCCCGTGGGTTTGAGACCCGCCTGGGCAACTTGGTGAGACCTCATCTCTACAACAAATCAAAAATCAGCCGGGCATGGAAGCGCGTGCCTGTAGTTCCAGCTACCTGGAAGGCTGAGGCGGAAGGATCGCCGGAGCCCAGCAGGTTGAGGCTGTGGTGGCTGGGAACGACCACTGCACTCCAGTCTGGGTGACAGAGTGAGACTCCAACTCAAAGAAAAACAAAAAACGAACAAACTTGAATTTGCATTGTATAAAGTCTTCCTAGAGTGCCTTGTAATGTCCGAAATGCATTACTCACTGATGGCTGAGCTGGGTGGCATGATCTCTTATTACAGATTACTTTTATTTTATTAAACTCTTTCCCCAAATTACTTTGCCAGCTCTGGCTGGTAAGAATTAACATGGCTGCAAATAAGGTAAAATCTGTCAGATATCCAAAATGGCTGATGGGCATGGAATTTTTTCATGCTAATTTTTAAAATCCTGGCCATGTTTGGTTACAAAAGCAACTCAGGAAGCAAGAAGATGGCAATTAATGCCATTTGATGCCTCACGTAGCAAGTCTTCAGCATTACATAAACAACTTACCAAGTTCTGATCACTTTTCCCACCAAAAAAGGGGAGAAAATTTCAGGAATCTGACTAAAATGAAAGAATAAAAAAATTTTGATCCACTTTCCAATACTTTAATGAAACGAGAAACTCATCCACCAAGGCAAGGCTGCCTAGTGTGAACAGCAGATATAAAACAGAAAAATTAGAGACAGACAAAAATCCGAATGGTAGGGAAAAGCATTACTCTAGAGGGTCAAAGGACCAGACTGGTACAAACATAAGCCGATGAACAGGCAACTAACAAAGGTCCTAATAAATGCTCTTTCATCATTTATCTAATCGTAACTGTGAAACCAATACAATAAAATCGCAATCAGAACATTAGGGTGCTATAACAAGTTTCCTCAACTGTTAGTTCTCACCAAATTTTTACCCTTTTGGAGAGTGATATTTTAATATGCAGAAATAAAAGCAACCCAAAATGCTGTTTTAGCTGAAATCACTTACCAGATGGTAATTTATTTTCCAACTTCACATTTTCTTCTTGTGCTGGAAAATCCTCAGAAACTTCTGTCGTTTTTAATCCTTTTCTTTGCCGGATGGACATCATGATGTCAGAGTTACATGCATTTTCTTCCAACCACACCTACAAACAACACAGAAATAAAAGGCCCGTCCATATCCCAGCACCCTCTCCCCCAACACACCTGTGCTCACCTGCGCTTAAGAGACTTTGTGTCTTCATGCCCTCCCATTTTCCCATCCAAGTCTTAACCAGCCTTCAGAGCTCCACTCAAGACACAATGCACATATTTACTTAACTCAACCAGATTTACGAAGCACCCGTTCTACCGCAGGCACGGCAAGGAGTCAGGAAAACAGGTGAGCAACAGCCAAGCTGCAGCCCTTCTTCCAGGAAACCCCCTTTCTCTGGGTGCTCCAGTCCCTGCTGACCTCTTCGCTCCCTGAGCTATAGCAGTTACCCCGCCATATGTCACAAAACTAGTTTTGTGTTATTTCCTCCAGTTCCACAGGCGGTTGCAGGTCTTCTGTATCTCCCAAGGGAGTGACCATGTGGCTTCGGAGATCTGAAATACTGTTTTGTCGCAGGTATGTGAAGCTTAGCCCCAGTGTTCTCGAACACAAGCCACACTGGAAGCTTCAGGGATGTGCCTCAGTGGAGATGACAGCGGGGGTGTGCCAATCGGGGCAGCTGCGCCCCAGGGAGTGACGGTGGGAGTAACCGCGGGGCGCAGGAGCCAGGTTTGGAAGCACAAGTGGGAGGCGGGGGCGTGGTGGCAGTGAGTAAGCGGGTTCCAGTCCCCGGCACGCCTCGCTTCACTCCTCTGCGTCATGAGCAGCGTTTCATTAAGTATCATTTTTGAGATATTTTATTTTGACACATTTTACGACTCACCACACATGACCAGCGGCCTGGCATGGTCGTTCTCCCGTCTGACCACTTCCCAAAGGCTTGCTCTACAGAACAGAGCCAGGCAACACCGCCCAATTCACTGGCTCACTCAGACCAGAAAACGTGAGAAGCAAAGCAGGTCTCAGCGCCGGGCCTTCGAGCCCAGAAAGGGGGTAGCCGGGCGGACAGCGCGACGCGTGTCAGCAGTCTCCCGGCCAGACCCGGGCTTCGCCCCCGGGCGCCTTCGGCCTAGAGGGAGGGGGTTTCTGCAGGCCCACCACACACACGCCCTCGGACACCGGAGGCCGAAAGCCGACAGACGCGGAGGCGCCAGTCTTGCGTCGGGCGCCGCGGCAGCCCCGCCGGCGAGGCAGCAAAAGTTCCTCCGTCCGAT